TCAGCTCCATCTCACGGAGTATGGTGAGACAGATCAGCTCCATCTCACGGAGTATGGTGAGACAGATCAGTTCCGTCTCATGGAGTATGGTGAGACAGATCAGCTGTCAAATTAAATAAAGCTATGTCCCAATGTGTGCTCAATAATTTAGCTTATGGTCATATTTCTGTGGCTAGTGTTGATTAATTGTGGCAACCAGCTTAAACTAGAGAAATCGCATTTCCTGCGAAAACAGCGTGAAGGCTTATTGCAGAACAACTTGCTGAAAAACAGCTGAAATTAGCTAAAACATGCACAAATGTAGCTGAAATGGAAGAGCAAGCCTAAATGAGCAGAAGACAGCAGAAAGAGCATAATAGCTGAATTAAGTTTAAATAAACAGAAATTAGCACAAAAATTAGGAAGTTAGGTAAAAGAAAAGCTGAAATTAGCAAAGAAAAACAGCTGAAAAGTAACTTAAAAAGCAGAAAGAAGCTTAAGTTACTAGAAGGAAGTGGAGAGAGCACATTTTTGCTGAATTAGGCTGAAAATGTGGTTGAATGACAAATACAAAACTTGAATCCTTGAAAATTTGAAATTATTGCAAAAAATGTGGAATTAGCTGAAAAAGCTTAAATTAGCATAAACCAGCGAAATAGCAGAAAAAGCTGAAACTTGCATACATTTTTTTTTCTCACTCGTACGAGGCGGATGCTTTCTCTTCCCTCTCCTGACCGCCTCCTGCTTATTTTGCTCTCTGTCTCTGTATCGGAGCTCATATTTTACACATCTTCACAAAATAAAACTACCGTATTATCCGACCTATAAGTCAGACTTTTTTGCATAATTTACATGCCGTGCGACTTATAGGCCGAAGCGACATATTAATGGATTCGTTCCCATATTTATAAACTATTTTTTGGCCGAGATATGATCGTTTTTATTCATTCTGACTGAAAAATAGTTGAGCAGTACCACTTTCAGCCACTTGATGGCAGCAGAGTAGTAGTAGCTGTATGGCATTATGTTGTGTCATGTAATAGGTAAACGTGGCTATAATGACAAATTCTAAAAAGTTCAAGACAAAAACAACTGGACTTTATTTATTATACTTTATTGTTTTTTTCTTGAACTTTTTTGAATTTACCACGTCCTGGATGACTGAGAATCTTCACCAGCTATTAATGACACAATCGACTTTTTGTAGAACAACTGTGTCTGAGTGGTTAGAACAGTCATCCTCCAATGGGAGAGTTGAGGGTTCGACTCCACCAGCAGTCACATGCTGAAGTGTCCCTGGGCAACACACTGAACCCCTCATCGTCTCTGATGTGTGTCCCATCAGTGTCTGAATGTGATGAAGCTCTGATCAGTCTCTTTAGAGTGATTTGTTCAATTATCTTCATAGAGATCTAGTATAGAGCTGTATGAATGGGAGGGCACAGATTGTTGTAAAGAGCTTTGAGTATCTTGAAATAAGATGGAAAGGAGCTGTATAGGTGCAGTCCATTTACCACAGAACCCCCACCTTGATTCTGCTCGCTGCTTGGACCGAACGTCAAACCAGCTGCACCGCTCCGGTGAAAAGCAGCTGATTTGACCGTTAAAGTGCATTTATTAAGCAAATGTTAGACCGAGACACACATTTAATATCATTTCGAGCAAACAAATAATTGTTTTTAAGCGTTAAACTTGTTCAGTTCTTGTTAAAGTCCTCCCGTGCACGCTCCCACTGCTGCCATTTGGCAGGCAGCCCACCCATTTTTGACACACCAGTCCACATTGTCACCGCTGCCGTGTAACAAACGTGACACGTCAGCGGTGACGCATAACAGATGCGCCGTACACGGCGAAGCCACATATTTATGGATTTTTCCACTTTATTAGACAAATATGAACGGATGCAACTTCTAGGTCCGCTGGAAAATATGTTACTGTTGTGGATCTGCTCAGCTGGACTTTCAACACAATCAACCAAAATCTTTCCAGCAACGCGACAGGGTCCTGGAGAGCCCTCATGCCCCGTTGAGAATGTCAGGAGGACGCCGAAGACGTAAACGATCGTATTTATGATAACAGGTTTCCTGTTGTTTGGAATCGGCTGGTTCCTGAAAAAACTAACTTGTATGAATCATTTGTAAATGTCTACTGTTGTTGTTCACTGTTGTCATCACTCTGTTTAAATCAGGTCTCCTTTGTGAATGAGTCCTCGTGGCTCAATGGGACTAACCTGTAGAAACAAAGGTTGAATGAATGAAAGTGTGGTAGTAGCTGAGAGTCGTTCTCAAAGCATGTTTGAGATCACGAAGGACTTTTACAAGGTTTGACCCACGGCTGAGCTGCGTTTCTTCTCGGTGATATTAGTCAAAGGTCGGGGCTGGCAGGCGGAGGGTGAAGGTGTTCTTTAGATGAAACTTTGCGTCACGTTTCGAGACCAGCCCAACTTTAACGGTATCAGTTTGTAATGAAATGTTTGCACTTGTGTTTCTGACAGCTGGCCTATGAGATTGACCGAGAGGTCGACGACCAGAACGACTACTTGGACGGCATGGTGAGGCCTTCCTGTGTCTTCACCACCTGCTGATCATTTGTTCAAGCACTTGCACTCATCCCTCCTTTTCTTCATTCATTTACGAATGCCAGATTTGTATGTTTTGGTTGGTGGGGGGGCTCCATGTGGTGTTTTTTGGGACCGGAGGCTAGGGACAGAGGGCTGTACCCTCAATACACAAGTCCCACCTACACACCCTCTCAACATGAGTCCGTTAGTGTAACGGTGCTGGTGAGAACGACGTCAATCAACGATCTTCACCTGAACTAAATGACCTGCGCTCCTTTTCTTTTTGAAAATGTTCCATTGGTTTACATGGAGGGGTTGGACTTCATCCGTCCTACAGGGGGTGCTTGTCCTCTGTGGCCTCAACTTCCAGCTTCCAGTCCTGTTTCTAGTTAAAACATAAGTGCATAAAGATGTTTAGCCCAGCCTGGACAAAGGTTTTTACCTTTTTCTCTGCGTTCTATACCTGATGATAAGTACTGTTAATAGACAGAACCTCGCCTAACTGGACCGTCCCTTTGTCTCTGTCAGGACTCCAACTTCCTGAGCGCCACGGGCTTGCTGAGCGGCAGCGTGAAGCGTTTCTCCACCATGGTTCGATCTGGCAGAGACAACCGCCGCCTCCTCTGCTACGTCTCCTTGGGGCTGGTCCTCGTCTTCTTCCTTCTCTATTACCTGGTCTCCAGGATCCAGCGCTGACCCGGGTGGGGAGCTCAGGCTGTAGACTGGAACACTGTACATAGGATTAAATAATCTCAGCTTTTCACTCAGCACCAAAGTGGACGTTGAAGGAAAGTATTTAGGTGAGCTGCTGTACAGCTCACTGGTGAAATCCATTTCCCAAAGGTTCCTGGACTGTTTGAGGGGGGGGGGGGGTGTAAAAGAATCAACACGTTTATACACTCAAGACCCACGGGTCGAGTCTGATCCTCAAGATGATCATTTAAATGTAAAATACTGCACCTCCTCTCATTTTGTCTTTAAAATCCTGATACATCATTTAGTCCAAACTTGTCTTGGCAGCTGGCTAACTTTGGAGCCAGAAAGAAGTCTGGATCATTCTGTCACTGGTTCTGATGAGGACAGAGCAGCAGAACATGGAGAAGATCAAACTCTTCTTCATGAACTGCAGCAAACATCAAACTGCAGGTATCTGACTCGATGAGGGATCAGCTGAAAGTGGCTCGGACAAAGTTTTTATGTTTTGGCTCCTTTCGGTAACGGAGTTGCACACCCCTTCCTGCAGCCAGGAAATCCAAATTTGGGCAGAGAGTAGGCGGAGCCCAAGTGGCATCCAAGAACAAATGTCCCTGTAAATGTGTCCCATTGGAAAAGATGTCTCGGCTCCTGACCTCACAGCATCCCAACGATGAACTCAATAAAGACAGGAAGTCGACATGTGGAAGCAGCTGATCTTTGGTGGCAGCAGATTTATCAACGTGGAGGGAACCTCGTTTATTTCATTTACTTTTTGTGTACAAGTGTTTCTGTTCATGTGCAGGCTTGTTTCTGACATTGAATGACAGATCTATCATTAATTAGTTTTCTATAATCAATATTTTTGAGTGTTTTGTGCTGATCAGGCATGATGCATGAAAACCTGATGGTGATCCAGTCAACTGAAAAGGTTTCCTGCAGAGACGCTCGTATATTGACGTTATTGTGGGAGTTGTATTTGCTGACAATGCTTTGGTTTTGTTGTATATTAATAAAAGAACGCATATATTTATTTTTAAAAATCATGACTCGCATCACTACTTTAATTTCTTAACCAAATTATAATGAATGGCAAAATAAAACCATTTCAAATTTAATTTGTTGCTTTGCCTTTAAAATTTCGGTATGAAACCGTTTTAACACTGATGTCTGAAAACTGCGGACCAGATTTGTGAAGACTTGGCGGGGCCGGTCTGAGACCAAAGTCCACTCCTGACGGGGTGAGACGTGGATGTTGGGTTCGATTTAGGGCTTTGGAGTGACCCGAGTTTAGATTGGCACACTTTTTAAATTCAAGCTTTATTTCTAGAGTGAGCCTGAAGGACTCCTTTACAGGAGAGGCCTGTTTTAAACAAAGAACACAGAGGAGCTACAGGCAACAATCATAAAACATCTAAACTGAAAAGTAAATGGAAGAAATGATGTAAAAATGAAACAAGCTACATTATAAGGTGATGTAGAAGACTAACAACATGCAGACAAACTAAAGGACCTCCTCCGCTCCTGGTTCCTGGAACATCTTGTGAAAAGATCTGAAGCTCTCGACCTTTGACCTCTCTAAGTGACTTCAAACATCTGGTAAGTTCCTGGAAGAACCAACGCAGACATGTTCCTGTTTTCAGTTTTCTACATCGCCTTCTTATCTAACTTTGTTTTATTACCATTTCATTTGTTCTTCTCTATTTATTTGCTTTCTTTATGATTGTTGTCTGCACGTGGTTAAAAAGTCAGGTGTCTTGTAAACGAGTCCCTGAGGCTCAGTGGGATTAACCTGTAGAAATAAAGGTTGGATGAATGAGGCAGAAGAACCGCTGGGACCGACTTCCTGTTTGAAAACAGCATCCCTTTGGTTTTATCATCTTTTAGCACAAGTTTGAGACGGAACAAATCTAACTGGACGATGTCGAATGCAGACTAAAAGATGAAAAACGTGTTGTTTAATTTGGGATAAAGGTCAGAGTTGTTCTACAGAAATGAATGGAAGTCCATATTCAGATCAACATGTTTTGATTCTTTTGACATTTTTCTTCCCACCGATCTGTCTTCAGGAACACAGCACGACTGCTTCACTAACCCTTTTAATGATGAAGCAGGATGGATTACAGTACTGTGCTGCACTTAGACCTGTCTAAAGCTTTCGATACTGGACATCACATCACCTCATCTCAGGTATTGGTTTCTCAGTGTTGGTTGAGCATGCATCACACTGTTCCTTACTTTTCTATCAGATCGGAGGCAATGTGTTCGACACAATTCAACCTTTATTTAGACAGGTTAATCCCATCACAATGGTACTTTTTTTAGTTATTTAACGGTCACAGCCACAAATGGTGTGCCACAAGGCTCAGTTTTAGGACGCACTCTTTTTATAACTTATATAAATAATGTAGATCAAACCATTCCTGACACATCCTCTATGCTGACAATACAATCGTTTATTGCCGAGACAATCATAAAAGAGGCATCCAGATTTTTTTACAAACTAAAATGAAATGGCAACCAAAAGGACAAAGTAGCGAAAAAACAGCTGGATGATGAGGCGGTGTAGAAAACTCAAAGGAACATGTCTGCATTAAGGACATAAATACAGATACAACATTTAACTCTAAATGTTCCATTCCTGTTTTAATTTTAATAGAACGTGCAGAAAGTGACGGTTACTGTTAAATGTGCTCCGACTAAAAACCCAAGTGGGAACGTTTTAAAAAGCAGGACGTTCGTAGTGGCCGTCGTGTCGTTTCGGCTCAACTCGTGTATTTCCGGTTTTTTCCGGCGTGTCGCGAGGGACATGAGGTTAAAGTAAACAAAGAGCGGCCATTGCGCCTTTGGGGTGAACTGGTTTCTTTCTTTCACGTGTCCCTTAATTTTACGGTGAAAGTTCTGGTTGAACCGATTTCCGCCGCCTGGTTCCGACCTCGCGCTGATCTTGGGTTCGGTTCGGTTCGGGGTCGCTCCGTTCCGCGGCCGCTCGGTCCCGTTCGGCTCCTCTCGTTCTTCGGAATCATGGACGAGGCGGACTCGGCGACGAAAGCGCTCGGGCTGGACGAACCGCCCATCGACGGGACGCCGGTGGACGAAGTGGGCTCGGATACCGAGTCGGAGGCCGAAGTCACGCGCATGGCTGTGATGGCAGAACCGGGAAACATCGACATGGGAGCCGAGTCGCTGCCGAACGAGGCCGAGGCGGCGTTTGCAGGTATGGAGGCACGAAGTGTGGGAGGCGGCCATTGGTGTTCAGGAGCGCTGAAACGTTCATCAGTGAAATTAAACCAAACGAACAACTTTGTTTTTATATAAAAATCCAACTCTTGTATTGTTACGTCAAACTACGTGAAGCCTGATCTGGTCGTAACCGCAGACAGAGCCGAGAAGTTCGGCAGCGCCAAACTTGGTTCAGTTATCGTGTAACTTCACTTTGACAGCGCCACAAAACGCATAAATATAAAGTTTTATCTTTGTCATGCTAAATTTACTAATTATGTTAAATGTCCTCAAATTCGGCAGTGATAAACATGTAGATAAATGGCAGTGTGTAGAGTTTTAATTCAAGTGTTTGGAAGGTTCCTGCTGGAAGCTGCAGCCACTCACTCAATTTTAGGAAACTATAGGATTTTAAAGAGAAATTAGTTAAGTTTCAACAATAAAATAATATGAGATTATTAAATTAAAGACCTAGCTTTTTGAAGAAATGTATATGAGCCACTGCCTCGTGCCAGAGTTTTACATTAATGTACTTTTATTAGCTTTGTATAAACCTTAAGGTAACTTTAGTCTCCAGCAGCAGTTGTTGCCAGATCACCCACAACATCAATTACTGTCAAACTGACTGAGCTACAGATGGTTCTGAGTTGTTAATTAGCTGTGGAAGCCATTTTAATTTGGATTAATGACAAACGTTCATCCTTTTAGAGTCAGAGTCTGAGTTTCTTTATTGTCATTCGCACCTCATGTGGTACATGTGGTGGAGCGAAATTATGTCCACAGGGTCCCAGTTACATCCAACAATAAAATGTATAAGAAAAACAGTGATAACATCTAAGATATGAACTAAGAAAAACATCAACTAAATATACACTAAGCACTCATAACATAAAACATTGAACATCAGCACAAACATGAACATGAGTCTGTGAGCAGATGTGCACGCATGAACACATCAACATTAAAACAGATCAGCAGCAACATGAAACAGATCAGCAGCAACATGAAACATCAGCAGCAACATGAAACAGATCAGCAGCAACATGAAACAGATCAG